TTGAAAAAAAAAAACCAAGATCTGCCCTTGTGGATTTCACCTAGCATGAACACCCTGTCGTCTTTTAATCGAAGTGTTAATTTTATATTCCGGCGGTTGCGAGAGTTTAAGAAGAACAAGGAACAAGATTTAAAAGATGTAGAAATTAACGAATCAAAACTTTTAACCCATAAAGTCCTTACAAAATAGACAAAGTTAAAATTTACAAATAAGTTCGGTTTGGAAATAAGTTAGGGGCAGAAATTTAAGCATTAGTAAGTCAATTGAATAAAAAACATGAGCATTGGAATGAAGCCTTATGACCATGAATTAATTATAAATCACCTGTAAAACATTCAAACTCTGACAAAAAAATTATCAAAAGTTTTGACAAGAAAATAATCAGAAAGCAGGACAGTCCATTTTTTAAACAGTTTAAAACCCTATAAATCACTAAAACGAAATAGAAATTCATTGCTATCTTTGATAAATCTGCAAAGTTTTCAAAATCTTGACAAAATTTTCAAGATGACTGGACCTAGGTTTATTAAAAGTTCTCCTAGATGGTCTTCGTAAAAAAGTAAAATGAGGAGTAAGAACTATAATTATGTATAATTATGTATGCTCTTCATCAATCTAAACAAAAACGATTGGGCCAGACTTCCAGGCTGGTTGACAAAAAAAAGAATACAAGCTTATTGCAAGTTTAGTAGTCAAAATTAAATGATCAATGATCGAAAAACTTATAAGGACCCAAACGGAAATTACCGCTAAAAATGAAATCAAATTTCTTAAAACTTCTCACCCAGAAATACAATCGACAGAGGAACAAAGAAGAAATGAAATGTCGAGCTTGAATCTCCACAACTGTGCAGCATTGTTTATAATGTTAAAACAAATGATTAGAACAAAATGATCCAAACTGTTTTAAAAAATGACCAGAAACTAATTCGTGGAAAACGTAAGCCATTAGTTTATCAGCATTTTTCTAGTGCACTGCTGCTGTTCCTTTTCTTTGGGTTCTGCTCATAGCGGAGTCTTGCTCGCTTTTGCACAACAGTTAATACTCTTTGCGTGTTTTTCTCGTTATTAAAACCCCAAGTTGAGGTCTTAATTAATCATTTTGTTCTTGAGGTCTTGATTGCAAAACAGAGCCCTGACTTGACCTCTCGCCCTGTAAAATTCAAGAGTGTTCTAATTGATTGTCTCCAATTGAAAAAATTATAAATCTCCGAAACCCTATAATTTTATATAAAATGATCACAGCTCAAAACAACAAAAAATTTCGAATGGTATAAAAAAAATTCTGTCATTAATTGCTAGTTAAAAAGTTAAAATTTATCTAAAAAAAACCACCCCGAGCACAAATTTTCCGTCACTGTCTTCCAAAGTCGAAAAAACTAGAATGCAGAAGCATGAATGCCTAGACATATATTTTATTTCGAAAATTTTATACTTATTATTATTTTTTGTAATTTTATCTGAAACATCGTGCAACTTCTAATTTTTTTTAATAGTTCTTTTTAAGAATAAGAAAGTTTGTCGGCATGGAATCCGAAAGCAATCATGTTTTTTTGCGATTTGTTTGTTTTTCCTATTTAAGACCCTTTCACTTCACTTTTCCAGTTATTTTTCCCCTTATCTGTCTAATTGGGAGAAGTTAAAAACTGGCATTCATGTAGTAAACAAAGAAAAACAATACTTCTCGTATCAGGTAAAAACTCTGACTATTTCAACTGCCCTTTCCCCCTGTTTGAAACAGTGCTTAAAAACATCTAATGAAAAATGTTGATAAAACTTTCGAAACAAAATGAAATTCAACAATGAAACAAAACAATTTTTCTTAAAATTCTTCTCCCATCACACGCTCTGCCAAGTACAAAAAAATTTTTAAGTGTCTGGTATCCTATTGTTAATCCAAAATAATGTGCTTCATTTCACGAACGATTTATCAGTAGAATAAATCCCCAACCGCGAGTGAAAAACACGAATTATATCACACATAGACTGACCCAAATAGGCGAAATTAGCAGTTTTCAACGCTCATAATTTGCTTTCAATTTTCAATGCACGCAATGCCACAAAAAATTTCTCGAGTACAAAAAAACCATCACGAGCATAAAAACTTTTTCATGGTTCCAAATTTTGAAAAAAAAGTCTATAATTAAGCATGGAGTGTTTTTTTACAGTCAATTTTTGGAGGTCGAAATAATATTATTACCAAAAAAAACTTGACACCTCATTTGACCATGCCTCAGACTTATTTATGCCCGCTGTGAACATTTTATATAGGATGCTGAAAACGTAACGCTTGGGAGGGTTATCCCGCACTGCAAAAATGTTTCCGCCTGAATGAGGGCTAATTGGTTCTATTAATGTTTTATAAAATTTTTCACGCATTATGTTTAATGTTGTCCAATTTTTTTTTCATTATTTTCAGCAAAAACTAATCGTTTCTGATTTATGGGTAGTCGAAACATATAGAAATTTGCCCTGATATAAAAGCAGCCTTGCTTTCTTCAAACATCGCAAAAAAGGTTTGCAAGTAAGAAAATTTTTAAATTTTGAGCTCACGGCGTCATTACTTTTGAGATGATATAAAAACGTTCTATTTAAAAGTGGCTAAGTAATAAAATTGAAAAAAAAAAGTACACTAAGCAAAATTATTCTATATTTTCTTCAAATTTCGGAATCATACAAGTTATTAATTGCGTTTTAAAAGATCAGCTTGGTTCTGAAGACTTTTCGATGACAGTTTGCTTCGCCAGTATTTGGAAAACTACTTAAGCAAAATGAAAAATTAGTTTTTTAGCAAAATTTGAAATTTTAATATTCTGGCTGAGTTTTTGTGTTTGTTTCATTATTTTACGCCTATTTTAATTAAAATTGAGGAAATTGCTCTCCTAAGTTTTTTGAGCTACCATCAAAGCGGTATAATTCGCTTCTTTTTTATATTCGATGCTCTTAAAATTACATCTAATTCCACGCAGGGTCAGAAAAATACCAAAACAATATCATAATATTTGACAAAAATGAAGATTATAATTTCGATTGCTGTTCAAGGCATCCTCTATGTCAGATTAATGGAATTGGTTTCTACACGTAGGTGGTTAGGCGTTTCCTTTTTTCGTTGGAGTCTGTTGGCGTCATCGTACTTTTTCTTATTAACTTTTTGTATGTTTTCTGTTATATTGTTCGTAATAACAATGGAACAACTTGGTCAAAAATCTGCCGTCTTTCTTTAATGTTTACAGCCATAATTTTTGCAAGTTTTACTCTCCAACATGAAATTGCGAAACGCATTTTTCATTCTGTTGGGAGCAATTTCGTTCTTTTTATTAACCAATATTCATGTCGATTATATGAACTATTCAATGTCGTATATTAAATTGCCAAATAATCAATCTACTTATTTGATTGAGAAGTTTGCGCCCAAAAACCCTGGATTGCCTGCTGCCCTGGAGAGAATTAAAGAAACATGTGAAGCTCTGTGGTCGAAAACAGCCTCAGAAGTGGAGACAAAGACTGCAATGAGACGCCGCAAGCACCATCTAAGGGACCTTTTTTAGCGAAAACCAGTACTATTGATTAAAAGCTGTTCTAGTTTTCCCCTGAGGGTTGGGAGTTAGAAAACAAGGCCCAAAATGACTCTTTTGAACACTTTTTTGCTCGGTTTGACTTAAAATTGCGTTTTCTTATCGGCCTACGCTCCTCTTTAAAAGAAGTATTGATTGGCGCCATCGATGAAAATTTATTAAATTTTCAAAAACAAAAAACAAAATTTTATAAAAACACAATTTTGAAAAACATCACGCTATTTAAAGTAGAAAGTGATACATTTACAATATAACAAGACTGCTCGTATCAGGGCAAAGCCCTGAATAATTCGACTGCCTTTTAAGGTTTATGGAGCATTAATAACATAAAAAATTGAATGTAATAAAACAAAATAAAAATTTTTATTTTCTGAAATTTGAAGTTTTTTCTGAAAATCATCCCCCCACACGCCATATAAAGTACAAAAGGATAGATTTTGCTCCTCGTATCAAATCAATTATGGCAAATAAGCTTATTTCAACCAATTTGGAACAATTTCTAGAACGAATTAAATCTCCACTTACGCGTTAAAAGCGCGAAATATATAGCGCGTTAATTGTCCCAAATTGGCCAAAATGGCAATCTTTAAACCCCCATAACTTAACAAAAAATGATCACAGGTGAAATAAATTTTCAAGTTTAAGCTCAGGACAACAATATCTTTGGAACTATATTAAAAAACTCCGTCAAAAATGGCTAGTTAAAAAGTCGAAATTTGTCTGAAGAAAAAAAAACGCAACCCGAGCATAAATATTCCGTCACTTTCGTATCGAAAGTTGGAACAATAACGTATCATTTAGACCGACTAGCATGTCTCAAAACAGTTTGGAATGATTTTTGGGCCGGATTATATAGCCCGTTAAGCGTTGATAGTACCAAGTATATCGCGTTTTAACTATTCAAATTAGCCGAACTGGCAAATTCAAACCTCCATGACCTGCAAAAAAAAATGTTTCTTTAAAAGTTGAACTCAATGGCAAACTGGTTGAATTCTTTTGACTATTTGATGCGTTATTTTCTAATAAATATTGTTTGACCTTTATTTTGCTTGGTGTGGTTTTTTATACAAATTTCGATTTTTCAACTTTTGAAAAAAACACCAGTTAAAATGTTTTGAGCGCCAAGTTTAAACATTAAAAATTTTTAAATTTAAATTTTTTATAAATTAGGGGCGAATGAAAAAAGTTAATTTTTGATCAGGAATTCAACCTTATGAATAACTTGCATAAGGGCTTGAATCTTGGTTCCATTCTCAAAAAAATCTTTTTTGTGGGACAAAGTTTGACGAAATACTTTCCACCGACAAGAATTTAGCCTCTTTGAGGTAATTAACTGTCAAAAAAAATTGTGAGTTTATAAGCGTTGACTTAAACCGGATCGAAAATAGTTCTAAATTGAACTAAAGAAAGTTATTTTACGAAGAAATGAATCTGTTCATAGACAAAAGAAGGTATTCGGAAAACGTTAGACCTCGCTCTGGTTTGAATATTCTCATAAACTTATCTATCTATTGTGATTAATGCTCAAAACTTAATTGCAAATAAGATATTTTCTAATTTTGAACTACTTTTTTTCACGTTACAGTAGGTCAAAAATTTTTAGGCGGCTAGAACTTTGCCATTTACGAGCTACTGAAGAACTTTGTAATTTACGAGCTACTGCACAAAGAATTTTGAGACTACTGTTTTAAAGTGTAAGGCTTCATTGAACAAAAATATGGGATGAAAACGATTTTTTTAAATGATTTATGATAGCTTTTTTTAACTTCAAAAAAAATTCAAGGTATTTGTTCTCGATTTTTTCAAAACAAAAACAGGCTGCATTCTTTTTTTGTTAAATAATAATGGTATGAAGCTTACCAGATTGGCCAGTTTGGACAATTATTTCGAACAAAACTTTCATTTTTTTATGTAGCATGGTTAACGTAGGTAATTAATGACTTTGATCGTGTCGTCTTAATCGAACCAGCTAGTGTGAGAAAAATTCTGATGACGGAATTCTTCCCTATTTCTTTATGAAATGGGATTGACAATTAAAAAAATCTGTTTGATGAACTTCAACTGTGTAGATCATAAAAGTTTCTTTTTGCAATTTGACTGTACTTGCAATTTCTCTCAAAATTAATTGCAAAAAAAATAATATTTAAACCAAAAAAACGCGGGAGGAAATTTGCGGTTTAAGAAATACATTTCTTGAAATATTTCGTAATTCATATTTCGTGTTCCAATATTAAAGTATTTAGCTCTCACTTTTCCGATATTTTATCCGGCTTTTTTTTCATTTTCCAAGCTACATGCTAAATTTTACTCGATTTTTTGTTCACTTGGTTCAATTTTTACAAAAACTGTCATGCGGACTAATTAAGCAGTAGCAAACATACTTGATTTTCCTACGTAAACTTGTAAAAACCCTGATTACACTATAAAAATAATGGTTTTTTTGAGGTGTGGGGAAAAAAGAGCCTTTCATCCAAACTTTGATTAATTTTCAGATTAAGTAGCAAAGCTGAAATTAATTGTCCAATCTTTTTTTTGTGATTGATAAGGTTAGCAAGGAGCCCTAATTTTAGAAAAAAGACGTGCTTGATTAGATAGCCTAAAATAGTATAAAAAATGGTTAAGTTTTGGAAAACTTAGCTTATCATAAGAAAGCGAACAATTTATAAGATTAGACACCTGTTTTTAAAACGAATGAAGAATTTTGAAACTACGACTTTTGGGCCCTTTTGCACTTAAATTTGATTCAATATTCAATCCAGAAATGGCTTAAGAAAAAATTGACACTCTCAAAATCAAAAGAACTTCCCTTTTGTACTATTATATGCAGGGGCAGATCTAGGATTTTCTCGAGGGGGTAGCGGATTTTCAAAAAAATTCCGAAAATTTTGTCGACCGTTTTTTTTAGTTCAACCGAATTGATTTTTCGAGATCTCCCTAAAGCACAGTTTAGTTCCTGTGTTGGCCAAATTTTCAGCGCCGCAGGCAAAATTTTGAAAAAAAAAACAGTCCAAAAAAGGCGTTTTTAAGCACTTTTTGGAAAATTTTACCAAAAAACTGCGTTTTTGCGACGCGCACTCCCCCCCCCCCCCCTCAAAATTAGTATATATTGGCGTCAAAGGCGCTTTTAGAAAAACTTTAAGGTCGGTCGGTCAAAAATGGATTTCTTAAAAAGTACCAATGGGGGGACCCTTTGGGTCGGCAGGGGGTCGAATCTCTGAGGGGAAAGGGGCGTCCGCCCCCCGCCTCCCCCCTAATTCCGCTCCTGATTATATGGTATTTATTCTCGGCTGGTCCACTCTAAATTTTCCATCATGGTTTTTAGTAAGTTTAGTGGTAGCGGTTTTGAGGTTTGCAAGAAAACGCTGTTTTGAGGTCGAAACCTACTACAGTTTTTTTTCTAAACACTTGCTCCGAGCGCATAAATTGTTTGTAACTAATTGCGGCGGCTCTAAGAATTTTTGAGGGGGAGGCGTGTTTTCAAAATAAAAGGAGCTGCAGCATTCCATCACAGCACCAAGTTCAGATAAAAACAACTTTGTTGCAAATTCTGCGACAAACTTTTTTCGAAGAATCAGCAACAAACTCAAAAAAGACATTTTGCCCGAGCAATTTTTCTCTGAATTAAATCTTAAATATAGGCTCTTTGATAACAGAACACGGAATCTTTTTTATCAGCCATAAAAAATTTTCCCTCAAAAAACATTTAAGCCCAGCCTTATAGCAATATCCATTAAGTCAATGTTTTAGATGTCGAATGCATTTTAGATCAAAACTTACCAAAATTTAAGCATGTGAACTGATAAGATTTTTTAAATTTAGTGACCTATCTTTTTTAAGCATACTTTTTCAGTGGTAACGACTTTAATTTTGGAATATTTACACTCAACATGGCAAATTATCACTCAACTTTCTAGCTTCGCATCGATATAAAACAATCATACAATTTAAAACTTTTGGGAGTTTTTGGAATTTAAGAGGCTTGAAGAATTCATGAGGCCTTTTAAGTTACTTTCTGGAATTTATGAGTGAAAAGGTTCCTAATGCAGTTTGACTCCCGAGCCCTTTCTGACAAGTCATGATAACTGCGAGGACTACTTCCGACGTCGCATGGGCTTCTACAACTCAAAACCAGTTAACAGCATGGAACAGAAGTTTCCGATCGCTTTCAGTTTGCTCGTTTATCACCAGTTCGACCAAGTGGAACAACTACTCATGGCTATCTACAGGGAGCAGAACTTTTATTGCATCCACATTGACAAGAATGCACGGTCGGGATTCAGATTAAGAGTGAGTGGTTAGCATAGGATATTATGTCTTACGCTTTCCTAAATTTATTCGCAGCTCTAATCTATGAGGATGAGGTCCATTTTTGAAATATAAATTTTGTTGTTTATACGACTCAAATTGAATAGTTTTTGCTCAAACAACTCAGTTATCAGATGTAGAATATTGGCCGGACAATAACATTGTTAATGTCAGGAAAACTGAAAGCAAAAAAATTGGGCTATTTTGGATAGCCGAAAAAAAATTGCTCTTCCCGACAGCCGGAAAAATTATCTCTGTTCCTGTATAGCCAAAATAAATATTGCAAATATTTTCAACATTGCGCTTCCCTCTCAAGATAGCTGTTTGACAATACTATTATTTGGCCAAGGCTTCTGCCCAATTTTTTTTTACCGGATAGCAGACAAAAAAGTTCTCGCGTAAAATCGAAAAAATATTGCACAATGTTAGAATGTTTCGTCATATTTGATTTTGATTTGATGCTAATTGCCTTAACAAGAAATTTTTATTTTTTGGCTATCCAAGAATGAAGTTATGTGGGTACGCATCCTTTCAAGTGCTCATAACTAGACTGAATTTTCCTTTTAACTTTTGTACAAATAAAAAAATATTTTCAACAAATTAGGTCAAATAACAAACTTCTGCCAATTTCTGTAAAATGCGTAAAAAATTTGATCTCAGTTTCTGCAAATCGAAAAGCTCAATCTTTTTAAAAAAAGTTCTAAGACTAAATTTAACTCTAGACATCCAATTCTGCTGTTATAATAATTGGGTAAATTACCTGAGGAGAGTAGTACACCAATTGTTAGCAAGGGTAGTTTTAAGGGTTGAGTCAAAGGAGTTCCATGCAGTTGGGCATCAGTTGAGTAAGTACATGAAAAATAATACAATAGTAAATCAGGGATAAAACTAAGGTAAATATAATATCATAAATAGGGATATTATATTACATGGTACGGGGAATACTAAAAGGCGAACGTTAGAAAAGGGGAACTGTTAATAAGGGGGTTATTCAGAAAAGTTGATATTAATCCCAAGTTTTCGTATAAATTGAAACATTGTTTTACCTGAAAGTTTGTCATTTCCTTGTAAGTCATGCTGTTTTTGAAAAGTTGAGAGAAACGAGTGAGTCAGCTTGGCTGTAATGTCAAAAGTCAAGTTGAGAGAAAGGTGACCTTAATTGTTTACAATTAACACCCGCCCACATTTGCAGAGCTTGCAAATAAAGTATTGAATAAAATAGTAAGGATACGGTAAAATACAAAGATAAGGGAACCAGTAGATAAGGGAACCAGAAATTGTTCTTTTTTCATCTTCATCTTGGTTTGTCTATCGTTGAGCTGATTGTCTTAGTTGAATTGAAGAGTCGTAGATTTGTTCATCTTTGTCGAGTTGATATGTTGAAGGCTGAGTTGCGTGATTATTTGGTTGGTTAGCTATTTGGAGCTTGGTTACTGCGAAACTGGGAAAACGCGGCTCAATTTGACCACAGGTCGAACTTTGAATCCAGTTGGCGTTTTCAGCTTCACTGAGCGGACTATTCCATCTTGTCCAGGAAAGGTTTCCACCACTTTAGCAAGAGGCCACAGTCCACGAGGTGTAAAATCCTCCAACATCCAGACCATGTCGTCGGGTTGCAAATTGGAAGTCGCAGAAGTCCACTTTGATCGTTTCTGCTGACCTGGTAAGTACTCTCGAAGAAAGCGATTCCAGAAGTGATCTGCGAGTAGTTGGGATGCTTTCCATGATTTTGACAGAGATAAATCCTTGTCCTTGAAGATACCAGGCGGTAAATTTGGAGTTCCACGACCAAGAAGGAAATGGTTGGGAGTGAGAGGCAGATCATCTTTGATGTCGTCAGACACATTGGTTAAAGGTCGTGAATTCATGGTTGATTCAATTTCGGTCGTGAAAGTAGCCAGTGTTTCATAGGAGAGTGTTCTTGATCCGATGACTTTGTACAGGGAAAGTTTAAATATCTGAACTAGTCGTTCCCAAGAACCACCAAAATGAGGGGCCGCAGGAGGGTTGAATTTCCATTCGAGTGATACGTCCAGCTGATTGATGCTTTCCACAAATTCTTTGTTCTTTTCCAAGTTGTCTAGACATTTCTTCAGCTCAGAATTGGAGCCCACAAAACTTGTCCCACAATCAGAAACCATTTTCGATGGTTTTCCTCGCCGGGCAAAAAAGCGTCTGATACAAAGAAGAGTACTGTCTGTCGATAGTCCTAATGAGATTTCAAGATGCACAGCTCTGATCACTAAGCATGTGAACAGTAAAATATACGCTTGGTATTGTTTTCCTTGAAGGATGATGGGAAAAGGCCCAACGTAGTCCAATCCAGTCGTTGCAAAAGGAAAATGATTTTTTTGATGGCAGACGATCAATTGGAAGATCTGACATCTGAGGGTAGTCGACTTGTTGTTGCATTCTTCTGCAGGGTATACAACTGTGTATGATACTTTTCAGCATGACGCGGCAGCGAAGAATCCAGTAGTTTTCCTGTGCTATGGCAATTGCTTGTTCCTTTCCGCAGTGGGAATGTAGAACATGGATGTTAGCTAACAGCAGGCGAACATTGGGGTTTTCACCAGCGAGAATGATTGGATATCTAGCTGATAGCATAATAGGGGCACGCGTGAGACGTCCACGAGAACGCAGGATACCGAAGTTGTCCACAAACGGTGCTAATGTTCGAAGTCTACTTTTGCCTTCAATTGGTTTTTCTTTTTTGATGTCTGAAACTTCAGAGACAAAATCTGTCCTTTGGGCAGTTTTAATTATGAGAAAGTGCGATTTCGTTAGATGCAAGAGTTGAAGATCGACCTTCGACTGTTTGTTGATCTTCCGTTTGAGATTTTCTGCGAATAAGAAGCAGTATGCAACTGTCCGTATTAGTCTTTTCCAGTTGCTGAAGCGTTTGATGTCAAATATAGGCTCAAATTTAGCCTCTAATGAAGTAACGAATACAGGAATGTTCTCAAGCCGAATGTTTTCCTGTGAAGGCCATTGAGAAGAATCGTTCAACAGGAATTCCGGTCCTAGTAGCCACCGACAGCTTGAGGTCATTTCTAAAGCAATGTATCCTCTGGTACCGTCGTCAGCAGGATTTAGCAGAGTTGGAACGTGAAACCACTGTTCAGGTTTAGAAACGTCTAAAATTTTCTGAAGCCGATTAGCGACGAAAATTTTGTGTCGTATTTCAGGTGTTCGCAGCCAATACAAAACAGTAGTACTGTCAGACCAGAAATAAGTTTTTTCAACTTTGAGGTCAATTTCCTCTGAAACAAAGAGCGATAGTTGGGCAGCATATACTGCAGCTTGCAACTCGAGATTGGGAATTGTAACACGTTTCATAGGAGCGACTCTTGTCTTTCCTATTATAAACTTCAAAGATGTGGAGCCGTCGCTGTAGACTATTCTTAGGTAGCAAACAGCAGCGAGAGCGAATTCTGATGCATCACAAAACGTGTGAAGCTGGATTGAAGCAGGGTTTTCTTTATCAAAGAAGTTCCTTTGGAATGAAACAGTTTCGAAATTTTCCATTTCGTCTACCCAAAGTTTGAAATCGGGAAGTTTATCCGTGTCTAATGGAGTATCCCACTTAACACCTTGTGACCAAACAGATTGGAGAACTTTTCGAATCCGAATTGTCAATGGAGCCACTATTCCGAGTGGGTCAAATAAAGAAGCGGTATACTTCAGGAGTTTCCGTTGCGTAGCAATGCCAATACGTAGAATTTTTACAAACTTTTTGTTATCGATGAAGTAGCAGTCAGTGTTGGTATTCCAGTGAACACCGAGAACTCGTTGATGTTTAGGCGTTGGATCATTAGGGCTGACTAAAATATTTGGATCAATTGAATCCAGGAATGGTTTACTGTTTGAGTTCCACTTATTCAAGTTGAACCCACCTCGAGATAAAGATCCTCGTAGTTGTGTCATTTGTTGGAGGGCTTCTTCTACCGTTGACGAAGTGACATACAAATCATCCATGTAGATATTCCGTTGAATGATTTCAGAAGCCAGAGGAAAGTCGTTTTTACTGTCTGATGCACATCGTCGTACTGCGTAGCAAGCCACGCATGGTGAGTCTGTGGCACCGAAAATGTGTCGTGTATATTCGTGAGTTTCTAATTTACCATTTTTTTTCCAAAGGTATCTTAGAAAAGGTCTATCCTTTGGGCTGATTAGCACTTGCATAAACATAGCATCTATGTCAGCAGATATTGCTATTTTATTTTGTCGAAAGCGAATTATGAGACCTGTTAAGTTGCACAAAAGATCGGGCCCTTTGAGCAAACTCGAGTTGAGGGATTTACCCTGAAAAATGCTGGAAGCATTTGAGACTCGTCTAACTTTGTCTGGTTTGTTGACATTTGTCACTGGATGATGCGGCAAATACCAAGATTTGATTGCAGTGTCATGTTTTGCATCTATTTTGGTGACAAAGCCTTTTTCTAAGTCAGTGATGACTGTTGCGCGGTATTTCTCCCTTAAATCAGGTTTATTTTTAAGGCGAAATTCGAGGCTGTTGAGTTGCTTTTCAGCTAGCCAACGGTTATTTGGAAGATCAGTATCCTCTTTCCAAAGAAGGTCAATTTGATAGTGACCATCTACTAAAGTACAAGAGTTTTCGAGAATATCGATTGCTCTTTTATCCGATTTGGAGTGCGAGCGTTTTGAAGAAGCGATGCCTGTGTTTTCTATTTTCATCCAGTTGAGAACTTTCTGGTATAATTTTTCATCTAAGTTATTGTGTGAATGAACTTGTGTGAAGTTCACCGGAACAGATGGAACGGAATTATATTGCGTTTTGTTCCGACCTGTGCATGTCCATCCCAAAAGGGTTTCGATAGCCCAGGGAACATTCTTGGGACCATAAACGGTATTTTTGATCTCATGATATTCTGGATTGTTGTTTCCGATGACTAGCGATATGCTATTGTCGTTTAAGTCCGGGTATTTAACATGCTTTAAATGTGGAAAATTGTTGCACATTGCGTTTAGTTGAAAAATATCAACTGGGGCCAAATTATTTTCATCTACCGTGAGTACGTCATCGAGCGTCATTGGAGTCGATGTGCTTTTGTATGGTCTAATTTGTACATCCACAGATGTAACTTGAACTGACTTGGTCTCATGATATCCAGATATGGGAAGTGAGTGCTTCTTGTTGACGTCCAAGCCTAGTTGAGTTGCCACTGAGTCCAGTAGTAGAGTTACGCAGCTACCACTATCTAAGAAAGCGTAGGTACAAAGTGTTTTATCACCATTTGATAATTCGATTGGTACAAAAGCTGATTGACCTGATCTCTGACAAGCTATTGCGCGATTCACTGCAGCTTTACTAGGGTTTTTTCCATAAGTATCAGAAGGATCGTGGAGTAGAGTGTGGTGTTTTTTACCACAATTATCGGTTCAACAGAGCGATTTCGAATTGCAGTCAGTAAACCTATGATTCCCTAGACAGTTAAAGCATAAGTGCATTTTTCGGGCATGCTCTTTTCGTTGCTTAGGGTCTAAAGCTTTGAAGTGCTCGCATTTGTAGAGAGGTCCACAGGTGTCTCCACTAGGACAAGCATTCGAGTTTACATTATTCTGAGCACGAGAGTTTTGTTGATCTCCCTGATGGTTAAAGCGCTGATTTTGATTTCCTACACCATTTGTAGTAAAACCATTGAAACGGGAACCACTAGGGTGTTTAGCGTTTCCAGAAGAATTGTTAAAATTGTTATTGTTTTGGTTTCGGAAACCTGTCGGAGGCATGTCGCGACACGCCTGTGCGTACCGTTGAAACCATTGTGCTAGATGTCTCAAGGAGGGTTGATCGTAGTCTTTGTCGATGACGAAGCGATTCCATTCTAATCTCACATGGTCGGGAAGCTTTGCCAGAGCAGTGTTCAAGTTTGTTGTAGAACAAATATCGTGAACAAAACCAAGTTGCTCAAAAGTGTCCACTAAAGTTAGGAGAAAAGCAGAAAACTGCATGTATGATTCTGGTTGAGCCAGATTTGGAGGTTTGAAATTTGCAAGACGTTGCAAAAAAGAGTTGACAATTCTATTGGTATTGCCAAAGTTTTCACGAAGACGTTGTAGTGCTAGTTCGTATGTGTCGCCGTTTGCACCATAACCAGCTATCATTAGTTTAGCTGGGCCAGTTACCAATGATTGAAGATGGATCATCTTTTCAGTTGGAGACATATTAGAATTATGAATCGATGATACGAATACACCATACCAGTGCAACCAATAGTTGGGATTGCCATTGAAAATTGTAGGCTTCAGTTTTGGCACTGATCGACTGAATGTAGTAGAAGTGTCGCTTGAATTAGTTGCCAAAGCTCGATTGTTGTTGTTAGGAGGGTTTGCAGCACTAGCTTGTTGTGAGCTGTGGTTAGGAACATCACTAGCAAATGGATTTGAAAATGATTGATCGCCTTGAAATGGCGCCGAAAGGTTGTCGTCAGCGGCAGCTGTTCTTGCATTGCCTTGAGTATTGTTGCTCATGGTTATAAGGTTGTTGTTTGGTATATCCATTATGTTTGCAGTCGGCATGGAGGTTGCGGTTTCCTGTGGGAAAATTGAAGTAGCATTTTCTTGAGCGCTGTTATTTGGAATTGTAGAAGTAGCAGGATTTGATACTTGTTTTTTCATATATTTTTTCACTTTCATTGAAAATACTCGGATTTTCTGTTTCAACTGTACTGTCCAGTGAGAATGTTCTTCAAAATCGTGTTCAGAACCAGCCTGTAACATTTGATCGTTCAGGGTATCAAGTTTTTGTTGGAATTGAGACAATTCAGTGAACGTTTCATTGATGAGTTCAAGATCATCTTCTTCCTCGTAGATGTTGTTTTCGAGCATGTCGATCAAAGTATTGATCTCCATTTCGTGATGACGTCGAAGCGAAACCAGTTTTCGAACGCCAGTCTCTTGAACGTTTTGATTGGTATCTTGCGTTTGGGTACCATTTTGTTCCGAAGGATCGCTGTCATTGTTTTGCGTCGTTTTATTTCTACCGGATGGGGCCATACCTTGAACCAGGAGACGTAAACCAATACCTACTAACTTATACCAGTATATGAATTTACCTTTACCAACCTACCAACTTATACCGAATACCACCGATGCTCGTAAGAAGGAGCGAAATAATGGATAAAGTTTAACCAATTACCACTGTACCTTACCACTTGTACCTACCTCCGAGGGAAAATTGAGCGGTCGTTCAAAGTGTCCTCGGTATTAACAATTAACTGCGATTTTAAAGCTAGTCCAAGAACCTACCTGGTCCTACCAGCCTACCGACCCTACCTACCTACCAATTACCAGTATAAACGGCAAAAAAAACCGGGTGCAAAGATTAGCACCAATGAGTGTTGACCTCCCAGAGGACAACTGAGGATGACGTATTTACCTACCTACCTGTCGCTATTTAGCAGACGACCGAATTGTGATTGCTGACCTCCCAGAGGACAACTAAAGTTGATGTACCTGTTTACCTACCTGTCCTAATACCGTAGATTTATCCCTGTGCAATAAAATTTGCACTTATACCAGTTGACCTCCCAGAGGACAACTTGCCTTTATCGCTGTAGCGTAGCGAATGAGACGAACTAGAGTTGTTCGAAGCAGTTGATGAGCTAAACGAAGCTCGAATGTAGCCACGAACCCAGTGAGGCTCGAAGCAGCAGAGGAAATGAGCTCAGGTAAAGCTCGACAGGAAGCAGCCAAGAACCGAGAGGCTCAAAGCAGAAAATAAGGTGAGCTAAGACGAAGCTCGAATGTAGCCACGAACCCAGTGAGGCTCGAAGCAGCAGAGGAATGAGCTCAGGTAAAGCTCGACAGGAAGCAGCAAAGAACCGAGAGGCTCAAAGCAGAAAATAAGGTGAGCTAAGACGAAGCTCGAATGTAGCCACGAACCCAGTGAGGCTCGAAGCAGCAGAGGAAATGAGCTCAGGTAAAGCTCGACAGGAAGCAGCCAAGAACCGAGAGGCTCAAAGCAGAAAATAAGGTGAGCTAAGACGAAGCTGGAATGTAGCCACGAACCCAGTGAGGCTCGAAGCAGCAGAGGAAATGAGCTCAGGTAAAGCTCGACAGGAAGCAGCCAAGAACCGAGAGGCTCAAAGGAGAAAATAAGGTGAGCTAAGACGAAGCTCGAATGTAGCCACGAACCCAGTGAGGCTCGAAGCAGCAGAGGAAATGAGCTCAGGTAAAGCTCGACAGGAAGTAGCCAAGAACCGAGAGGCTCAAAGCAGAAAATAAGGTGAGCTAAGACGAAGCTCGAATGTAGCCACGAACCCAGTGAGGCTCGAAGCAAGCGGAATAAGTGAGCTCAGATAAAGCTCAAACAAATGTCATGTCGAAGAACAATGACGAAAATTGAGAGTCCAAAAAGAACTCGAATCAGGTAACCAAGGAGTCGGGCAATAAGAAAGCAAAAAGGTCAGAAAACACTTGAAGGAAGGAAGCAATGAAGGAAGCAAAGGGCCAAGAAAGGCTCGGAAGGAATATACGAGGCGTCAGATAAGACTCGGAAGGAATGAATGAATGAGTAGGGAAAGACTCGGAAACGAACAACAAATGGGTCGAGAAAGACTCGGAAAGGAATGAAACATTGAGTCAGAAAAGACTCGGAAAGGAACGCAAAAGGCAATAAAGACTCTGAACGGAATGAAAAATGAGTTGGGAAAACTGAAGTTTTTTCATAAATGAGTCACAAAAGACTCGGAATAGCAAAGCAACAAAAAACGAATTGAAAGGGGAAAATTGATGAATATAACTTAATACATTATTCAAAGTAAATGAAGCTATGAACAATTGAAACGTTTAAAGTTTACATGGGTTAGAAATCAAGAGCAATAATTGATCTTTTTTTTTTTTAAAATGTAAATCAAATAAACTGCGATTAACTGTAAATAAATGAAATAATATTGTAATGGGGAAGTATTATAACAAGATAATATAAACCGCAGACGTAAAAACTGGGGAGGAAAAACAGTAACTAACCATAAATTTTTGGTTGTGGGGGAATAAAAAACACAGTGTAACGAGCTAATCAAAACTTTTTCGGGGCGCCAATATAGAAAATTGGCTAAATTACCTGAGGAGAGTAGTACACCAATTGTTAGTAAGGGTAGTTTTAAGGGTTGAGTCAAAGGAGTTCCATGCAGTTGGGCATCAGTTGAGTAAGTACATGAAAAATAATACAATAGTAAATCAGGGATAAAACTAAGGTAAATATAACATCATAAATAGGGATATTATATTACATGGTACGGGGAATACTAAAAGGCGAACGTTAGAAAAGGGGAACTGTTAATAAGGGGGTTATTCAGAAAAGTTGATATTAATCCCGAGTTTTCGTATAAATTGAAACATTGTTTTACCTGAAAGTTTGTCATTTCCTTGTAAGTCATGCTGTTTTTGAAAAGTTGAGAGAAACGAGTGAGTCAGCTTGGCTGTAATGTCAAAAGTCAAGTTGAGAGAAAGGTGACCTTAATTGTTTACAATTAACAGCTGTCTTTGCTGCTCTTATTGTTTTTGGCTAAAAAAGCCTTATTCTGCTTAATACCGCAGCTGGCAGAATTCCACATGACCTGGCGGGTTCATGATGGAACCGTCGAATGATAGAAAACTAATCAGAATTGATTATTCAATTGAGTATTCAAGAAGTATCTCAGCTTAGAACAGTCTAAACGATAATGGCCATATATAAAAGCAGCAGAAAAATAAAGCAGCAGAAAAAAAAATCTCTGGTTGATAGGCATTGCCAGTTTGACAAAAACCACGAGACACGATTTGTTGATGAAAACACTTTAATTGCAATTTTTGAACACTCAACTCTGAATACTCAAGCGCACCCACCACTAAACCACTGGGAGAGATTTTTTGTAGAATTTTGTCAATTTTGCTTTTGGTTTTCTGCATAAAGCATTCAGCAATAAAAATCTTGTTTTCTGCGATTGTCATTGGTTCAAAAATTCCGTCATTGAGTTCCTCCGTCATACGAAAAGGCACCTTTCGAGAGTTTTATTTCAACATTCTTATTTCAACAATTTTTTCACTAGAATCCGCCAAATTTGTCTTAAACTGGTAAAATACGAAAATGCCCGTGGACAAATAAAAAAAACACACTAATTCCAATTTGGTTTTTGATTTACAAACAATTTTGTGGGTTCCAAAAACAATGCTGGAGCGCGCTGAAATCTTTTTGAAAGGTACAGTGCTGATTTAAATCAACCAAACAAAACGCGTTAAACTTGAAATTTAAAACGCATTTTTCTCAAATTGGGTTGAGTTTAAGTGAAAACTTATGAAGACAAAATTTGCTTCTAATTTTAATTGCGCAGAATTAATATGGTGTAATTTGTTTTGCGAAATTCGGGACCGAAATTTTACCACAAAAATGGGTCATTTTGGCTTTTCTTAGTTAATCAAAAATTACGCCGAAAATACCCAGTCGATCACAAACATAATTATATCAAAGTGAGCCCCTTACGTAGCCCAACAAACTTTAAGAAAGGTATTTTCTCCAAAAATATTGCCAATTGTTTAAAAATTTGTTTTTAAATAAAAAGTTGGTATTTTATTTAGTAAAAATGACCTTTTTTGTCTATCAAACAAAAGTAAATTAACTCATACAATATTTTGGAGATGATACCCTTCTTAAAGTTTGTTGGTCTACGTAATGGGCTCATTTTGATATAATTATGTCTGTGATCGACTGGGTAGTTTTGGCGTAATTTTGGATTAACTAAGACAAGCGAAAATGACCCATTTTTGGGGTAAAATTTCGGACCCGAATTTTGCAAAACAAATTACACCATATTAATTCTGCGCAATTAAAATTCTAAGCAAATTTTGTCTTCATAAGTTTTCACTTAAACTCAACCCAATTTGAGAAAAATGCGTTTTAAATTTCAAGTTTAACGCGTTTTGTTTGGTTAATTTAAATCAGCACTGTAACTTTCAAAAAGATTTCAGCGCGCGCCAGCATTGTTTTTGGAACCCACAAAATTGTTTGTAAATCAAAAACCAAATTGAAATCAGTGTGTTTTTTTTATTTGTCCACGGGCATTTTTGTATTTTACCAGTTTAAGACAAATTTGGCGGATTCTAGTGAAAAAATTGTTGAAATAAAAATGTTGAAATAAAACTCTCGAAAGGTGCCTTTTCGTTAAAATTCGAAGCAAGTTTTTTCTTCATAAGTTTTTGCCTAAACTCAACCCAATTTGAGAAAAATGCGTTTTAAATTTCAAGTTTAACGCGTTTTGTCTGGTTAATTTAAATCAGCACTGTATAATTCAAAATTCGTAAAATGCTGAGAGTTTTGTTCCGACAATTTTCGAAAAAAAAATGCCAGAATATTTGTGCTTGAGTTGGTGTTTTTTCACCAGACAATTTTCGTCTTCCTAACCAGCAATTTTTGACAGAACTTTTTTAATCATTCGAAAAGTATTTTTGTCCTGAGCTCAAATTTAAAAACACATTTCACTTGTTTTTTTTTCACCTGTGATCATCTTTCGTAAGGTTATGGGGGTTTCAATATTTTCAACTTGACCAATTTGGAACAATTAAAGCGTGATATAATTCAAAAAGGCGTAAGCAAAAATTTAATCCATCTTAGAAATCGTTGAGGCATGCTCTTTGGTCATTTCAATATTTTGTTAAATGCAAAATATATTATTTTGAACTTAATTTTTTTTTTCATTTTCTTTGAAAATTTTAAGATCTTTTTGTTAAATTGCTCTATAGAAATTTAAATGCAATTGAACCGTTCATGCTTTGCCCTGATATGAGTAGTGTTGTTATTTTTTTTGCTGTCTGAAATGTTCGAAAAACCGAAACAATTTTTTGTTGAAAAGCTCATCATAATCTTTTATCTGCTGATTACAATCAGAAACCAAAAACTTATTCTGATTGCTGCGAAAAATAATACACAAAAATGAACAGACTACGTGGTTCTAATCGTAACTTTTTGTCGTAGTAACTGTCTTTAATTCAGGTACTCAACGGAACAATTCAAAACCCGTGAAAACAGCATCGTGCGAAAGGAGGGGCTTTGGGCATCTGTTCCTCTTTCACCTTCAATTTCCAATTTTTTTTTCTAATTGCTGAAAGTTTTTTTAAAGACCATCTGAAGGTAATCTGCAGAAATTCAAATCTGGCTGACATAAAAGAACAAAAATGCTGCTCGTTTTTAGGCGAAACCTTGAAGGTTCTGACTGCATTATAATTTCTTTAGTGTAGTTTAAAATAAATTAATTGCTCAATTGTCAACAAAATTTTTGACGCTTTTTTGAAAATCATTCCCTCACGCGCTATTTTAAGAACTAAACTAATGCGGTATTAAAAAGACCTCAAAGTCTCCTCAATTCAATGGGAGCTATTTCTATGACGGATGAAATCTCCGTTTACGCGTTAATAGCACAAAATATACCGCGCGTTAATTGTCACAAGCTGGCCAAATTGGAAATCTTTAAAGCCCCATAACTTACCTTAAAATGATCACAAGTGAAATTTCTTTCTTTATTTGAGCTCAAGACGACAATATTATTCGATTCAATTTTTAAAAAGAAGGTCAAAAATTGCTAGTTGAAAAACTGAAAGTTGTCTGGAGAAGACAATCACCCTGAGCATAAATATTCCGTCATTTTCTTCAAAAATAGTCGGAACAAAAAGTGCGAAACAATAATTCCAAACCAAGAATGAGAGGCCAAATATTTATAACGATAAGACAGTCTCAGTTTCCAAGAGGGGTGTTATAATTATGTGTTGGCTGATTTAGTGCAAACGCGTAGCGTAGCATGAAACTCGGTTAGAACTTCTAAATTGGCTCCAATCAGTTATTGCCCCGTCAGCCATCAAACAAAAACATTAAAGCCCACCTTACTAGTATTTTTTTCTTGCAACCAGCAAAGTTAATGTAATCGGGTTATAGTCTTTTTCCCGGTAGACAATTTTGCCGTAAACAGTTCGACAAACAGATGTTATTTACTTAATGAACTGTCGTTTTCTTGCAATTTTTTATCGGCTGAGTTTCAATAACTTCATTTTTTCCTGATTTAGGCAAATATTGCTATAGTAAAATTTTTGAAATCTTTTTGGTTTGATTCTGTAGTTTGTTATTTACCTCTTATGCCAATGTATAGTTACATTATAAAAGTACTTTTGCTTAGAAAGTTTATCCGGCTTGTTTTTGGTTGATTTTATATCGTTTAACGTCCCTGAAGTGCGAAAATTATTCTTTCATGCGGTTGTCCTTTGGTGGTGGGGAATCGCAAAAATTTCAAGTTTCAAAACTTCTTTTTAGATCAAATTAATTATGATTTTGGTATTAAGCTGAGCGGTCGTCTACCCAGAAGTTTTGATTGCTTAATTATAAGGCTTAAAAGTTACTGGTTTATCACTAATTTAACACTTCAAATTTGTTTGGATCTCTTTTTGACTAAGAACGGTATGTTTTCTTTGTTGTATCACAAGTGGTACTCCTCTTTAACTTTTTGCATCTTAAAGCATCAAAAAAAGTTTCGAATGTGTGTAGATGGAGAGGCTAGCGAGCTGTTTCCCGGACAATGTGTTCATCTCTGATGTGTCGATAGACGTCGAGTGGGGCAACTACTCTCTCCTCCAGGCAGAACTGGAGTGCATGCAGCAACTACTCAACATATCACACAAGTAAATTATAGACCAGGTCCGCTTTTAAAACACGAGAGTAAACACGAAAAATTTCGTCATATGAATGGAATTTGCATGACTTTCGTAACTATTACCTAATTGTTTAATAACTATTATACAATAATTACATTTCTTCGACTGCTTAATATGGTTTATAATCCGGCTGGATTTATATACCACATATTACAGATTGTCAGAAGCATAAATGCCCGGTTTGACAAAAAATGCTTATCATACAATTTTCATATCTGAAGAAAAATGCTTTTAATACTCTGTCATACAATTTCATAGAGTAAAAGTAAGTGTATCAAAATAACAAAAAAGCTTTTTTCCATACTATGAAACTGTATGATAAACATTTTTTCCATACTACGAAAATACAAAAAAATTTTGTTATGAAAATTTGTTTTTCATCCCAAAAAACTAACCACGGATTTTTTGTAATAAGAAAACCCAGAGTGTAACTGGCAGTTGCCACGCAGATAAACTACACTTGATGATTTTTGCCATTTAAGTTAAAGTTGACATTTTCACATGGAAGTATATACCAAAAATGTAATTTTTTGTATATGGCTAGATAATTTTCGTTTGAAAGTTTTGGTGGTTGAGAAAAAAAGCTTTTTTTTAACAAATTTACTATTATTTTAGCAAATGAAACAAAAAACCATAATCGTGTTTACAAAAAAAAACTTTTTAAGATTTTTGGATTTTTTGGGTAAAAATCTCATCCTGGACTACGTTATAAACACAAAATATCAAATTTTGCACGCAAAACTTTTTTTCGTAAATTTTACATTTGAGCACAAACGCAACTTTGTTGCCAAAAAAGGGATTACAATTTTCTTTACCTCAAGTTTTTGTTTTTGTTTATGAAAAAAAGCATATCATACAATTTTCATATATGAAAACTATATGATAAGCATTTTTTCCGACCAAAATTAAAATTATCTTTTTATTTATCAAAATACCTCCTGTCTTAGATATAATTATTTAAACCTTTTCAAAATTACCCAGACACGTTTTTTGGTGATCTTTGAAAACTTTAAGTTTTCAATGACAAAATGATTATCTTATAATTTTATACATGAAAACTGTATGATGAGCATTTTTATCGAAAATTTTTTATTAATTTTTTTTTGAACAGGAAGCTTCAAAAAAGGCAATAGAATGTTCATCATTAAAAATTTTTAAAACACTTAGATTTTGTATGAAATTTGTATGATAAGCAGTTTTTTCCGTAAACTTCATGCATGGAACTGTATGATAAGCATTATTTTTCCATGGACGGCATCTCATTGAGTTCTGATTGCCAAAATTGTCAAGGTTCTCCTCTCTGCTTTCTTTGTCGTTTCGATTTTCGAAGAAAGTGACGGAATATTAGTGATCGGGTGTTTTTTCTTCAGAAAAAAATCGACTTTTAACTAAGTATTTTTGGCGAACTTTGTGAAATATCATTCGAAAAGTATTGTCGCTTTGAGCTCAAAATTAAGCGGTGTTTCTACTGTGAAGTTGCAAAGTTATGCCCACACCGGAGTTCCATGGATAGGGATCGATTATAATGGAAAACTGTTGTCTAAAAAGTTGATATTATAATCGATTTTTGCTGCAAATTTAAACCACGAAATCGATTATATTCTCATTATACTCGATTATTTTCGTAAAAGCACAAAATATTAAAATCCCTTATAATGGATTATATTCCATTTAAAATTCATTATAATTTATTATAACGGATTATAATCTTTACATTTTTTTGCAAAATCATTTGCAAAACTTGCAACATTTCTGCGTTACTCACGGTCTACTCGCAATCTAAACCTACTCGAAAGAACCCCAACCCCCCCCCCTTTTTGCCTCCCATCCGCCTTTGTCCACACCTCTCCCCCCACTCCCCTACATTTATCCCTACGCCCACCCCCTTGTTTATTAAAGTCCCCCCCCCCCCCAAGTTACCCAAGTTACAGTCCCCCCTATTTGGTTTACCGTTTTGAACAGGGACGGGGGAGAAATGTTACTCAGTTGTTCCATCCTCCCCCATTTTACCCCGCCCATGATCAGTAAACGGGGGGGGGGGTTAAACTAAGATGGGGGTAAAATGAGGAGGGGTGAACTGGGGGGAGGGGGCTGCAAAATGAGGAGGGGTAAACTAGGGGGGCTTTATTATCCATGGAACTCCAGTGCGGGTGGGGCTGTAAAGGTTACAGATTTAGTACAATTAACAATCGGTATATTTCGTGTTATTTACGTGTCAGCGGACATTTAATCCGTGTTAGAAATCGTTCCAAATGGAATTGGGACAAGCTTTTTAGTAAATTTAATACTTTGCAAAATGCAAAAGATTTCATCTTATACTTTAAAAGTAGTGACAGGGATAACTTTAAAAAAACTCAAAAACAATTTGAAAAATTTTCATTTTTTTGAAAGTTTGATTAAATATTTCAATTTAAACTATAACCAAGAAATTAAAATGCAGTCGGAACGTTCGAAGCTTCATCCTGATACTAGCAGCAGTTTATTATGTCAACCAGTTAGATGATTTGAATATATCTTCCTATTGACCATATTTTGACACGCTCGCCCTCTAAATTACTATAATTAGGCCCAGCTCGCATTAAAAAAAATTAGCAATTAAAAAAAATTGGCAAAAAAATGAAGAGGAACAACTGCCCATTGCCCCCCGTTTAGGCGGGTTGTGTTTCGTCGAGCTGAGTACCAGAATCAAAAAAAGTTACTAGGACAAAAAATTGCGATTTGAACCACATAGTTTATTTATTTAGTGTTTTTTTGCTGAACGAACCTGCAGTAGGAAAAAAAAAAATTTTTTGCTTTTCGAATGATTCAGAAAAAAAATCAAGAATAACAAGAGTACTTGTATTGCCATGAATGTTACGACTGTATCTAATTTTCTATAGTGCAGTTTACTTTTAAGTAATTCATGAAGTGTCAAAGAAAATTAAAAAAAAAATATAGTACAAAGTGATTTTTCATTGTTCCGACTTTCGAAGAAAACGGAACATTTATACTCGGTGTTTTTTTTTCAGTCAATTTTCACCGACCGAAATGATAATTCTCAACAAAAATTTTATGCCCCATTGAAGATATCAACTTCCTGAGTTTAAATGTAAGAAGATATTTTCCCTCCGATTATTTTTTGCAAAATTCTGGGGGTTAAAAAATTGCCGAATTTGCCTAGTTCTGGACTAAATTATGCGCGCTTTGAAGAGTTTTTTCATATTGGTGAGAGCGTAACTCGATTTTTTATTGAACGGTCCTGAATTATCCCGCTCTACAAAATCATTCCAAATTGAATAAAGGCTAGCTAATCAGATCGGTCGTATTCATTTTGTACAAGTCAAAATTTTACACTTTGATATCGTCCAAAAAGTATAGGTTTTCAATATTTTCTCTTCCAAAAAACTATTCGATATGAGTAACGGAACAGCCGGAACATTCAGGGCTTTGCCCTGATATGCAAGCAGTCTTGTTTTGCATTTAGCACAGTATTAAATAAACCAAAGAGCATGCCTCAATCTAATTAGGAACGATTTCCAAAACGGATTAAATCTCCGCTTACGCGTTAATAGCATGAAAAATATCAGGCGTTAATTGTCCCAAGTTGGCCGAATTCGCAATTTCTAAACCCCTATAACTTCATTAAAAAATCACAAGTGAAATAATATTTTTTTAAAATTTGCCAGCGGCGCAGAAATTTCCACAAAATAGGGGATAGGGTCTGTATAGTATTTTCATTTTTGGAGAGATCGGAAAAAGAAATTGCTCGATCTAAAAAAAAGATCGGCAAAACTTTCAAAATTTTTCGGAAAACCACCAAACCCCCCCCCCCCCCCCTCTCCCCAGAAAAAAGTCTGCGCGCGCCACTGATCACAGGTTAACTGGAACTGACAGTTTACTACTGAAAGGAAGGCATAATCGTTTAGATTCCTAAAGATATCAAGACTTAGTCAAATAATCATAGCCAAGTAATCACACGAGTAGCGGATTTAAAGGAAGGCCCCCACCCCCTGCCAACCCAAATATTTTGAAATATCCTATTTGGCTGATGGGTCCTAAAAACTTTTCTAAAGGCGCCTTCGCCATCAGTATTTACTATTTTTGAGTGGGAGCACGCGTCAACGCTTTTTTGGCCTGTTTTATTTTCAATTTATGCCTGCGGCGCAAAACATTTGTCAAAACAGGGTCTTTGTAGTGCTTTGGGAAAGCTCGGAAAATCAATTTAGTCTACCCAGCGAAGGATCTAGGAATTTTCTCGAAGGAGGCGGTTTTTTAAAAATCTTTCCAAGGTTTTGTCAACATTTTTTAGGTCGACTAAATTGGTTTCCCAAACTGTGCCAGAGCACAAAAAAGACCCTATTTTGGGCAAATTTTCTGACCCGTAGGCAACAATTTGAAAAAAAACATGCTAAAAAATAAGTTTTGAAGCACTTTTTGGAAAATTTTTACAAAAAATGCGCGTTTTTTCGCCGCGCGTTCCCCCCATAAATTAGTATAAATTTTAGGGTCCATCAGCCAAAATGGATATCTTAAAAAAGTTCAAGGGGGGAGGTTCGAATCCCTGAGGAAGGCAGGGGGTGTCCGATTGACCTAAAAAACCCATGTAACCCAAAAATTATCACGAACTTGAAAAGAGGCATTCATTAAAAAAAATTCAATTTGAACTTAAAATGAGTCATCAATCAAACGTCTATAATAACATGCATGGCTATCATTTGAATTAGCGCGAGTTGTTTGTAGAAATAAGCAAGATGAATTTGTGAAATATTATAATAAGCATTTTTTGGCCTAATCTGGAATTAAATAACAAGCGTTTTGCCATACTTTTTTTTAAAACAATTTTTTGAAAATAGCAAAAATGTTTTTTTATTCAATAAAATTGTATGACAAGCATTTTTTCCATACTCTGAAATTGTACGATAAGCATTTTTTCCATAAAATAAATGAAAACAATTGAGAATTTTTGTAATTCATCTACATTGGGTGATTTTAGCCATGTAAATTAGCCATGTAAACTGCATTAGATTAACTGCATTTGGTGATTTTAGCCATGTAAGTTAATTTTATAATTTTCACATCAAATTATATACCAAAAATGTTACTTTTTGTATATGGCTAGATTATTTTTAGCTGGAAAATTTTGGTGGTTGAGAAAAAAGCCGGTTTTTTTTTTACAAATTTATGTTCATCTTAGCACATGAAACAATAAAATCATAATCGTGTTTACAAAAAAAACATCATTTTTTGTGATTTATGGATTTTTTGGATGAAAAAGTCACCCTGGACTACTTTATAAAACCAAAAAGTAAAACTTTGCATGCAAAAAAGTTTTTTTTCGTAAATATGTATTTGAGCACAAAAACAGGTTTGCAACCAAACAAGGGGTTAAATTATCTTATCTCAAATATGTGTTTTTTTCTATGAAAAAAGGCATATCAGTAAGTTGATGTGATATATGAACTTACTGATATACAACATTCATATATAAAAACGATATGATAAGCATTTTTTCCGATCAAAACTGAAATTATCTTTTTGACAGTAAGTTGATGTCAATCACTAAAAACCTCTATTAAATTCATTTAAAATTGCGCAAGCAAAGTATCGATTGATTTTTGAAATTTTTTTTTCTCTAAAAAAATGTTTATCGTACAATTTCATATATGAAAAAAAAATGATAAGCAAACTTTCGAACAAAACTAAAATCATGTTTTTGATAGTTAAATTGCTCATTTCATTGAAAGTCTTCATTAACCTCAATAGTAATTGTAGAAACTTTTTTAAGAGATTTTTGAAAAAAAAAGTTGCTTGCAAAATGCTCATTATACATTTTTCGTCCATGAAAGTTGCATGACAAGCATTTTTTCATCAAAAATTTTTAAAACATTCTTTACATGACCAGAAAGCTTCAAATGAGCCAAATATAGTAAAAAAGTGTATTAAAAAACTTTAAAACAGTTTTTAGATTTTGTATAAAAATTGTATGATAAGCACTTTTTCCATAGACGCCATATATGAAATTGTATGACAAGGGTTTTCCTTCTATGAAGGTCAACCCGGGGAGCCATTGAACTATAGATTCACTGTCGAGAGAATCCTCGGTCCGCGCCTCAATCATTCTGTTTGTTCAAACACCCACTTGAGAATAGTTCTCACTCACTTAATCAGCCAATCGGTTGAAGACACAAAGTCTTTACCCGTGGTTGTACTAATATCACAAATAACGAAGTGGTCAGAATAACAGTTTGGATCTGCATTTAGGTGGAAGTATTTCATCAACTTGACGGGGGAAGAGTTTCCTCTGATGACTAACTTGGAGCTGGTCACTGTCTTGAGACGATTCCAAGGCGCCAATATTCTAGATGGTCCATTTTTTTATTTATTTTCAATACTTTTTCCCTAAAAAACTATACTCTTGAAAAGTATAAGTTTTTGAAAAATTCCATTTTCAGCTCCAAATTAAACGCAAAATTGAATATGGTTTTCAAATAAAAACTGAAGCATTAATGTTAAGACATCAAAAGTTTCCTTTTTTGATTAATTTTTTATCAGCCTTATTTTTATCAGGACCTGAAGAAATATACGATGTTAAGCCTTGGCGGTATCCAGAAAAATTACCCCACGGCATGGATCGCTACAAGAGCTCGACTCACGTCGCCCTCAGTCGAGATGCTGTCTATTTCATCATCAACGGCGATCTTTCCAAGAAGCTGCAGCAAGCCCTGAAGCCGTTTAATTTTGCTGAAGAGTCTTTCTTTGCTATACTGCAGTACAATCCGAGCTCAAGCATGCCGGGGGGTCTGATAGTTGACGGAAATGACAATCGAATTAAGCGGCAAAAGTCTATGAGGTACAAATTTTGGATCCATTCTAAGGAGGAGCTCGAGCGATGTTATTCTAGAAGAATCGTGCGAGATATTTGTTGTATCGGCGTCAAAACGCTTCCTGAGCTTGTGGGGAGCTTTTACGGAAAGGTTTTGTTCCTAAACAAGTTCCCATGGTTTTTCGAACCTATGGCTTGGGATTGCATGAACTTATGGCATCATTCAAAAGTGAGTCTAGAGTTATCTACCAAGAGTGTACCAGCCAACTTCTCCAACTTGGGAAACGGTTCTCAGGTCATTTGGTCTAGAAAATCAAAGAGCTCCGCAAGATGACGGACCAATATTGAGACATTTTCAAATCACAACATGCATTTTATAAATAATTTGGTTAGAATGGCTTTTGGGAAAAAGGTTTTGTACATTTTATGAAATGCTTGTTTCACTTATCCTTGCACTCGAATAAAAACTTTTCTGTAAAATAACCGCAACACATTATGTAGTTGTGATTCCATAACCTCACCCAAATAATCAACCTTCTTTCGCTTTGATATACGTTTTTTGGATCAATCACCCCTGTTATTCCGTGTAAGAGTAAATTGAAACTTAAGAGTTAAGTAAACTTTTCAAAAATGGTATTTTTCAGCGAATCAGATTTGAGCATGGTCCATGCAGGCCTTACGGCTTGAATTTGCCACTTAATTTTAGAGAGGAGATGGTTCTCTTGGTCTCTTGAAGCAGGAGATTGTTCAAATGGGCAATTTTTTTTACCATTTAGATTCAAAAAGTTTAAATTTAGAAATATTTAGTGATGTTGTTTTGACCGAAACGACCTGATTAAAACCTGTTTCGTTATTTTCTGATCAATCAAGGTATATGTGTTGACCAGCTAAATCAAAATTGGCCATAATTAGCTAAACTCTACTTTAATAAAATTGAGCTCAACGATGTTTGGTTTAATACTTTGCGCTGTTTTGACCGATTCGTCTAATGTGGTTCATCTAAGGCATAAATGTGCTCGATTATATTCATTCCAAACATGCTATGGTTTGATCGAATTGACCCCAGACTGCTATATTTCGACTTTAAAAAATGAATGCAGACTGTGTAAACCTTGAAATACAAAAACAACTTTTGTTTTTCTGCACATTGTGTTGCTTGGGGGCCGATCGTTTAGCAGACCAATCTTTTAGCATAAAAAGTGAAAAATGAGTCTTTTAGCAGACCAACGTAATAAAGTGATGGATGATTGATTGATAGACTCAAAAAGACGCTCAGTCTGGGCCAAGTTTCCCCAATTCAGACAATTATCTCGCAATTTGTAAACAAAACTATCAACTTCAAAAACACAACAGTCTAAATTAGCGGCAAAACAAACATTTACGCGCACAATAACACTCGCGTTGAATTGAAGCGCAGCGGAGAAAGCGGTTGCTGATCGCCAATGCCGCGTTTGAAGTTAGCTATCACACTTTATAATTGTTCTGATTCTGCTAAAAAACCGGTCTGCTAAAAAAACCGGTCTGCTAAAATCCCTAGCACCCTTTTGCTTTAAAGGTACACATGTGTGTTGTAAAATTGTCAGTAAAAGTACACACTCCGCTTTCGGAAAATGCTCGGATTGACTTCACAGAGCAAATCTTTACCGCTCCAGTATTATGACAGCAATGAGAAATGCAGAGCTGTAACAAAGGTAAACAAGACTGCTCGTATCAGGGCGAAGCCCTGAAAGTTCCGACAGCCTTTTAAGGTCTATGGAGCATTAATAAGATAAAAATATTCAAAGTAATAAAAAAAATTTAAAAAATTTTTTAAAAAAATTCGAGATTTTATGTAAAAACATCCCCCCACACGTCATATTAAGTACAAAGTGATAGATTTTGCGCCTATTAACAAATCAATTATGGCAAATAAGCTAGCTTCCTTGAACCAATTTGGAACGATTTCTAAGACAGATTAAATCTCGCTTACGCGTTAATAGCGCGAAATTTATCGCGCGTTAATTGTCCCAAATTGGCCATAAAGGCAATCTTTAAACCCTCAGAACTTTACGAAAAATGATCACAGGCGAATTATCTTTTCAAATTCAAGCTCAAGACACCTTTTGAATGATATTAAAAAATTCCGTCAAAAATGGCTAGTTAAAAAGTCGAAATTTGTCTGAAGAAGAAAAAAACCCACACCGAGCACAAATATTCCGTTACTTTCGTATCAAAATTCGGAACAAAAAGAGAAATTTTGTTCCTTGTAACAAATCAATTATGGCAAATAAGCTTCGCTCAACCAATTTGGAACGATTTATAAGACGGAATAAATCTCCGCTTACGCGTTAATAGCGCGAATTATATCGCGCGTTAATTGTCCCAAATTGGTCAAAATGGCCAAAATGGCAATCTTTAAACCCCCATAACTTTACGGAAAATAATCACAGGTGAAATATTTTTTCAAATTTAAGCTCAGGACAACAATACCTTTTGAATGATATAAAAAAAATTCCGTCAAAAATGGCTAGTTAAAAAGTCGAAATTTGTCTGAAGAAAAAAAACCCACCCCGAGCACAAATATTCCGTTACTTTCGTAACGAAAGTCGGAACAACAAGACGTATTAGGCACGTATCAGGCTCGTATCCGGGTAAACCCCTGGATGATCGACCGACTGCCCTTTAATTGGTCTCGGATAATTTTGTAAATCAATCATTGATAAAACTATAAATTTTAGGCTAATAAAATCGCAAAATAAGTGTTGTAATATGAGTCATGTATGGCGTTAATAAAACCAATTAGCTGAAATAATTTGGAACGATTTTGTAGTAGTGCGGGATAATGACATAAGCTATATTTACCAGACTCATTGCAGGTTGCTATAGTGGTGTGCTCACTCGGCTGGGCAAATACAGACCAAGAGATCGACCCCCTGAGGTAACAAGGTTTTTTTTAAGTGGTCTATTTAAGAAAACCAACTCGTTCATAATTATTGCTCACTTTCTTTGAAAACCGGAAGAAAAAAATCTGCGCCATAAATATTCATAGATACAAACATTTTCGATTATGCTGTGTTGGTTCATTCATCAAAACAAATTTTTAGGTTAACAGTTCAGCGTACCTGTGGTAGTGCTATGGCGGTAGCCGAATAGTTTAGTATTGTTGTGTTTATTGTATGATGTAATGCCGGACAATATGGTCAAGGTCAACAATAATGATTAACATGAGACAGTGTCATAAGTTCAGTAAGCTACGTCAGTGATAGAATACATACTTTTTTGCATGCTCAATTAACAAGATTGTTAATTCAAGTTTACGATCAGCGATCTATTCAGTAGGTGCCGGACATCAAGCCGACGGGACTTCAAACCGAATAGTAAAATTAGGGACTTCAAGCCGAATAGTTCATTAAAAACTCATGAAATATGATTAATTTGAAAACTTTTTTGAAGAATTTCTGAATTTCATGATCTTTCTTCACAACTTATTGGCGTTTTCATAAAATTTAAGCCTCCAAATGATGTTTCGGAAAGTTGAAAAGTAAAACATGGTTGAAGGTATTTTTCATGTTTATAATTTATGCTTTTCAAAAACCGGCTGGTGTTATTAACGGATGTCAATCACAAGTGGTGCATTGTCATGAATAACGTTTATTACAGACTAAACTTGCCAAAACTTTTGAAAAATAACGTTTTACAGATAATAAAATAGTGTTTCGAGGTGCTTGTAAAGTTTTAATTTCGGCTTGAAGTCCCTTCGGCTTGAAGTCTCGTCGGCTTGTTGTCCTAGACCCCTATTCAGTAACTGTCAAAGGATATCACAACGTGCAGCCAGCTAAAATTTGGACTTTAGATATCGGCGTCAGCAGACTCACTATTGTTGATCAAGACATAGTTAGACCAATTCATGGTGGTGGCGACCGTCAAAAAAATTGTGGATCCCCATCCTTTACTCAAATCACCGGAGACACTGATCACAAAACCATTACCACGGGAGGAATTGCCTAGATCGAAAGACTCCGCGACTGACGAGACAGCGCGAATTGAAAGAGATAGAATCAATAAAGGAAAAATCGAGGATGAAAATTCAAAAAAATCGCTGAGGGTACGAGAAGTAGGACACCACGCAAAAGTTCAACAAAAACTGCTGTCGCGACTTTTTCTTTTTCTAGGTGCAGAAGGAAAGAAGTGATTACTGAAAACGAATCTTTGCGTCAAATTATCGGAAAAAAGTTCCCAGACCTATACGAATTGACAACAAAACATTCGAGAAATTGAAAAGCGTTACACATAAGCGATACAAATTGTTCAAGCTGGCACATGAGCAAAACGAAACGTTAGAAAATTATCAAACAGTGTTGAGTGCAAAAGCTACAGTCGGAACTCGGAACACTGGAAAATGAGGAGGTTTGTTTATTTCCCGAATGAGAAACACAACTCTTCAAGATTCACAAACATTTCAAACACTCGCGCCCAACGCAATGCTAAAAAGGAATGCTAAGCAAATAACGCAGTGTATCAAAAAAAATCAAGCTTCGGGAAGTACAAATATACAAATCATAATAAAGAAAGAGCCAATCATGAATGTCCGTAATCGAGGAAATAGAACTTAAAACTCATCACACCAAAACCCTAGGCAAGGCGTGAGTCAAGAGAAATAGGACAAAATGAGTTTTAAAAAAATTGCACTCGATACGGTCATTCGTTTTGAGGAAACCATTTAAAACCTTGTCCACCAGGAAGCAGCGACTGTAATAATTGTAAAAAAAAAGCACACCCATCTGTTTTGCAAAGATAGGCCGATCGCAAAAAGTAAATGAAACAACCCAAGAGTTGTCAAAAAATCTCGAGAATATGATCTGATTGAAATTACAGACATATCAGATGATTTTAAATTAATAGCGATTAAAGAAAATGACCACCCGCATCCAGTTTCAAGCGTTAATAATCGATTATATTACGATTTTAGTACCAGTCTCACTAAAATTGAGAAACAATCGATTTTATTCAATTAATAATCGATTATAATCACTCTTTTTAAAATCAAATTATAATCAATTATAATCGATTAAAATCAATTTTTTATTCGTCTATTTTTCGATAAAATATTATCCATTAAAATCCATTATTTTTATTCAAATTTCTATTTCATTAGTTTTGCACAAAAAATCCATTATAATCGATTATAATTGATTATAATCCCTTTTGTTTGTCCATTTTTGTCTTCGAAGTTGCATCTAAATTGCTTATATTTTATGCTTTTTGTGGACATTGGTTTCTATAAAAAATGAGAAAAATATTTTAAAAGTTTTCCAATTGATTCAAAATTATTAGTTTTTGTTTCATTTCTTCCCCATTAGGGTTGCTTAAGCTTTTTCAAACACCAAAACATCAGCAAACTGATTCAGTCTCATGATTGATTCAGAAAATTTATTTTTCATATACCGCGAGAACCTTTCCATTCATATGAAAGGATCTCTATGAAAC